TTATTTTAACAAGACACCTTCTCTAACAAACGGTGAGGGAAGTGATCGTGAAGCTAATTCAGATTGGGAGACAGCAGGCTCCCCAGCTTGTACCAGATCGTTCAATATGCAGCGATAGTGTGGCTGATGACTCCCGTTGAAGTGGCAAGTGTGCTGTGAGCCGCAGCTTTTCTGCACAGACTGTTGAGAGACAGAGGGGAGGGGGCAGGGAGATAGTAAAATTCAACCATTTTAGCACAACAACAGTTAACACGGTTAGGAGACTGGAAATCTGCGCTGATACTTTTCATAAAATGAACACGAGGGACCCCATTCCTTCCTCTCCTCTATCGAGCAGTGTCTCCTGGAATGCTTTTCACCCCAGCCGATTACGTTCATATTTCTGGCTCTGGAAGGAGCCTAATCTAAACGTGACCAGTCTCACTATGGCCAGTCGGCCAAGGGAGCCACTTCTTTGGTATTCTGAGAGGGGACAATCAAGGAGCTTCAGGCGATGTTCAGTCAGAGCATTCATCGGGATGTGCATTCAGCCTCATTGCTACCCTACAGGGAATACAGGAGCTACCCGTTTCAATGGGACATGCAAATCTGACCTGCAGTATGCTCTCAGCTTTCCATATGTAATCATCAATTAAAGCATACTTCACAGCTCCAAAAGAACAATGAGAGCTGGGCATGGAAATTATCCATTCCTTCATCATTCAACTGTGATCTACTGACAATCACTCCAGTTGAAGTGCCATGGAGAAACACTTGTATTAGATGAAAGCACTCTCCGTCTATTATATGGGAAACAAGTCCCAGGCCTTCTGCTGTTTCTGCAAGCTTTCAGTATCTGGAAGCTGAGCAAGGAGCCCAGATTTACTGTCATGTTTCATCATTCATGGATGTCCAATGGTAAGGTTATTGTAGGTGCTGTCCTGAAGGGCGCAAGCAGGAGTAAATCCACTTCGCCACTTCGCCCACACCGTGCAATGTTGGGAGTGCACCAACTAGTGAGGCAGAATTTGAAGACGTGTGCACTCACCAATATATCCACTGGTCACAACTCCTGTTCCAATTACCATGAGTCAGACTAAGGCATGGACACAAGGTTGCAAACAGGAATCCCTCACAGCCCTGCACTTTCTTCGCCCCACTTTTGGAGACTGTCCTTTCAGGAATTCACACCCCAGGCTTGACTTTTATCTCTGGAGTTCTCTCCCTTCCTCCTGTAACCCTTTCCTCAAAGCTTAGCTCCTGGTCACCTGTCCCAATGTATCCTTCTTTGGCTCAGCAATAATTTTGATCCAATGACTGTACCTGGGGATATTTCATGACACAATGGCAGGAAAGTGGTGTTGAGGAGTATCCGATCAGCCACAATCTCATTGAATGGTGAAGTAGACTCAATGGGCTGAATGGCCTACATCTGCGCCAAAGTCTTATGGTCTTAAATGCAATTGGTGAATTAGATCTGGTGAAGGACATCACAAGTTAAGGGACAGTTGGATTTATACATAAGTCTGTAAAGCTTTTGACTTTGATTGTGATAAATACATAACATATACAATTCAACTTCATACACTGTTTCCCATCTTTCCCACCAGCGTATTGACTTCCTGGGTTGATACTTCATTGTCATCGGCCCTGTTTTATCGGTCATGAGTATCGTGACTTCATTCTCGACTTGCCAGTCAGTTTCACTGGAGGTCAACAGTTCAGAAAATGTTAGTGCTTCCACCTTGTGGTCATGACTGTAGAGTGAGGCAGAGCAAAGGAACGCCAGCGATGACAAGCGTTTCCAAGATGGTGGACGAAGCATTGTGGGCAACAGTGTTGGAGGAGGTGGAAGCCAGGAGATCCACAAGGATCACCTTCAGTAGGGCGTGGGAGATGTTAGCTGTGGGAGGTTATTTCCCAGCCTCTAAACTGGGCACTTGGTAGCAGTCTTAAAAACCCACTAATCCCCTTCAAGGAAGGAAATCTGCCCTCCTTACCCAATCTGGCCTACATGTGATTTCTGACCCGCAGCAATGTGGTTGACTCGTAAATACCACAGGGCAATTAGGGATGGGCAATAAATGTTGGCCTAGCCAGTGACACCCAGATCCCACGAATGAATTAAGAATAGTCTAATGACCTGAGAAGTATGGTGAACGTCAGTGAATATAGCATCTCAAATCTTATACACATGACAACACCAATCTTTCACTCTGCTGAACTAACCACACACCCCTCCTATAGATCATCATTCTGACATTCAGGGCTCATGTTGAACATGCAGATAATCCACCTGATCCTCTGAAATCTGTCAATGCTGCTAGGCTCATCTGCTGCTACCTTTCAATGTGTCCACGTCTCACTACCTCCATCTCTCACTACTTCTACAACTATTTGAGAACATCTGAGCAGGAACAAGCCATTTGGCTCTTCAAGTTTCCTTCAGGACTCAACCGAACCATGGCTGATCTAGTTGTGGTCTCGTCTTCACATTCCCCATCACCACCTCATGGCCTGTCAACAATGAAGTAAATCAGAGTTGAATATATTTTAAGACCCAGCCACCAGTACCTTCTGGGGAAGAGCATTTAGCAATCGAATGACCTTCTGAGAGGAAGAAATTTTTCTCATCTAAGTCTTATGAGGGGAAATTCTCATTCTTTTTATTCGTTCAGAAGATGGGGGCATCACTGGCTAGGCCAGTATTCATTGTTCATCTCTAATTGCCCAGAGGGCAGTTGAGAGTCAGCCAAGTTAGAGTGGTTCTGGAGTCACATGTAGGTCTGACGAGGTAAGGATGACAGTTTCCTCCCTTAAGGGCATTAGTGAACCAGATGGGATTTTCCTGACAGTTGGCATTTTTTTGATGGGCACTAGACTTTTAATTTCAGATTGTTTATTGACTTCAGATTCCACCATCTGCCTTGGCTGGATTTAATCCCAGGTCCTCGGAATATTACCAGAGTCTCTGAGAGTTAATAGTCTTATGATAATATCACTAGGTCATCACCTCCCCTTAAATCATGATCCCCTAGTGTTAGTCTTACCCATAGAGCAAATGTCTTCCTGGTGTCCAACCTATTCAGTCTTTTCAATACTCTACATGTTTCAATGAAGTCACCTCTCATTCTTCTCAACTCCAATGAATATTGGCTTAACCTATTCAACTTTTACTCAAAAGAGAACCCCTTCATCCTAAGAATGAGTTGAGTGAATCTCCTCTGAACTGCTTCTCAAGCAAATATATGTTTTTTTTCAAATGAAACCAAAACTAAAACAATACTCCAAATGTTGTCTCACAGTGCTCTGTACAGCTGCAGTAAAACATTCTTATTTTTGAACTCTAGTCCCCTGCCAATGAATGACAACATTTCATTTGCCTTCACAATGACTTGCTGCATCTGCATCCAAACTTGATGTGATTCTGGTGTCAGGACACTAAGATTCCTCTGCACCACAGTTTAGAAATTGCAGGTAGATCAGCCAAACACATTGCTACACAAGCCCCGACATCTTGCTGGCACTCCCTGCCTCTCTACGGGACAGGGTGACAACACAATAGAAAGGAGAAGAACAGAACTGACTGGGACAAGAGTAACTCCATCTCTCAAACCCAGTGGAGGACATAGTTCTCTACACCAAGAGGATAGCTACAGCTGCACCCTTATTCTCCAATGTCATTGACAGTTTTAAGGATGGCAAAATCTTTAACAGTCAACCACCCAGATACTGGCACTGCATGTAACTTGGAGGCTAAAGTACAGTCGGGGTCACCACAGTGAAGCATTAGGCCAGCGTAGGGTGCAGCCAGTTCGGGGGTTAAGGATTTGCCAGTGCAGCAATGGGCGAGGTGGCACATAAATTCTGCTCCAAAGAACTCAGATGAGGGCCTCATTGGGACAGTATGCATAGAGAATACAGGTGTACATCGAGTGGGGGTATATTGGGTGCTTTCCCTAATCTGTCAGAGACCTCCCTGTCACTGCTAAGTGCATGGATGGAAGTGTGGTCCAGTTCCACGCTGACAGAGGGCATCTTCGGGGTGCGTGCCCTCTTCACAGCCTCTATGCTTTCTTCCTAATTTGCCTCAGATCAGGGACACTGTAAATGCTGTCACTATACCTGGTGCAGTCGTAGTGGGGACAGGTCAATGAAGATGTAGCGCCACACTTTGTCGAATCCAGGAACTCACTATCCCAGCTCCAAAAACACTCTGGAGGATTTCTAGACACCTTTCAATCTCAAAATCTCTTTACAATGCGCTGATCCGCAATTTGTAGTCCCGGTGCTTTAGGTACCTCCAGTGCAGGGCCCATCTTGAAACTTAATGTCCGGTTTCTACTCAAAGCAATGTCCGAATTTGTGGCCTGGACTTGTTTGCAGCAAGGGGGGTATCTCAGTGCTGCCTCAGCTGGTGGGATTTCATGGCCTCAGGGTCGAGTTCTCTCATTGGCTACCAGCACATGCTGGGGTCACCGGTGCGGGCACTCATCTCAAAGATCTGGGCCACACAGACTGGCAGGGAACTGCACTCAGCTAAGTCGTCCAGGGGCTCCACAGCGCAGGTGAATTTCATGCCTCAGATGTCTTGTTGTTGCCAATTTTTTAGTAAAAGTCTGCCTCATATGGAAGGAAGAGGAGACACCTTTTGATCGGGATCACAGTTATTTCTGGCAGGAAGCGAGGCATCTGCTTAAAGATATGCATGTGCAACATTACCTGAACAGTTTTTTTTAAAACTGGGCTGGAAGAGGTCCAAGTCAATCCCTCCATAACTTGACTTGCCTGCATTTTCAGCAAAGCTCTCTCTCTGTCTCTTCAACATGTTCTGCTTGCTTCTTCGCTCTTTACCTTGTGCCCCATGGTATTTGAACACGTCGCCTCAGTCAATAATGGATCACTTGATCATTCCTCATAAGAGTTGTCAAATTTTTACCAAGAGCTGATCAGCCCTATTTGCAAATCTAATGCTGACATCTATTAAAACAGAGCTGGGGACCCATTCCACAAAGACTTACCTCCTCAGCAGAAGCTTGGGGTGGTTCTTGCTTTCCAGGTTCTTGTCAATAAGGTCAGAAAGCAGCTGCTTCAGGACATCAGTGGCATACTCCAGTTTCGTCTGAAGGACAGTCATGATCAGTGAAGCCACATTGCCTCTGTCCCTCATGGAGAAACTTCGTTGGGACTCCAGTGTCCGAATGAAGGTCAATAAGAAGATTTTGTTATTGATCAGCTGGCCAAACAACGTCAAGCCCTTCTCCACTCGCTCCTGTCTGTAGCCGGGAACCTTGGGGACAAACAGATATCAAATCAATAATGAAGTCCCTGGAGGAATCATCAGTGAGCTCTTCTTGATCCTGTTCAACCTCAACTTTCTCCAATGTTACCAATTACCTCAACACTCCCCAAATCACAATGTTTGTACATGACACATTAGGTACCAACAATACATGCAGTCACACCATACCATCTATATTTACAGCAGATGCAATGTCTGTATGCAGGAAGTAAAACATAGGATCGCAGAAACGTAAGTAGGCCATTCAGTCCATCAAATCTGTCACACCATTCAATATGATCACGGCTGATTGATTCAATTCTTTTTACTCGCCATACCCCCATAACCCTATATGCCACTGGTAATCAGAAATCAATCACTTCCTTAAACTTATTCAAAGACTGAGCCTGTGTTAGAGAATACCAAAGATTCACAACCCTCTGAGTAAAATAATGTCTACTCAGCTCCAACCTCCGTGGCATCCCTCCTTATTTTGAAACTGTGAGCCCGATTTTAAGAGTCCCAAACGAGGGACCTGCATGTACCTTGTCTATTCCTTTCAGCAAAACATGCAAGCCAATGTTAAAATTTAAGGACTATAATTTACCAAAAGGAAAACTGGGTGAAAAACACAGCCTGGGTGAGGGTCATCGAGCCCATTGAAAAGTTAATGTCTATGCTTTACAACATATTGATGCATTGACGAAAATGAGGAGCATTAAATGGGAATGTGAGGAAAATAAACTTGCAGGGCTGTGGGAATAGAGCAGGGGGATGGGACCAATTAAGTTGTTCTACAGAGACCTGACATGGACTCAATGGACCGATAGCCTCCTCTCATACTGTAACATCTCTATGATTTTAAGTCGCAAACACTTATGACTTTGAAACATATTGTTGTTCAGTAATCATTGTTGAGTTAAATCCCTGAACTCCCCCATGACAGCAATGCAGTAGGGGGCACCTCTGCCACACAGTCTGCTGTAATTTGAGGCAGTGACTCATCAACACCTTTTCAAGTATAATTAGAAATTAGCACCGTTTGCTGACCTAGCCTCTGACTCCCACACCCAGAGAAAGAAGAGGAAAAGGTTACATTGCCCTGGAACTCCCTGGACTTAGCGATCAATCTCCTGGACGTTGCTGTGAGCAAATTACAGCAGAAAAACCCTTGGAGTGTTGAAGAGTGTTCACCTTCTTTGAAAGTTTTTAGTTTATTGGCAATAAAATCATTGGAGATGGCAAAGGTCATGTGATGAAACGTTAATATTTGAGAATAGTTTGAAGGATGCTTATGATTTACAAAGGAATGGTTATAATGTTTGCTTCAAGACCTCCCTGTAAACTTGCGTCATAACTTCATGATCGCAGTTGAGGAGGCCATTTGGCCCATTGTGCCTTTGCTAGCTGTTTGACTTGTACAATCAACTCAAACCCAGCACCTCCACTGTCACAGCATAACAAAGAAAAAACTATAATAAAGCTGCATTACATGTTGACATTAATTGTTCCTTTTGCAGATCATCTCCAGATATTTTACTCATTATATACATAGACTTCTAAAATCGCACTCTTATCTCCTGGCCTGTGTCTGGATTTAAATGATTCAAGTCCAATATGAACAGAAACAGAAGTTGCTGGAAAAGCTCAGTAGGTCTGGCAGCATCTGTGAAGAAAAAAAAATCAGAGTTAACGTTTCGAGTCCTATGACCCTTCCTCAAAACTAGTCCAATATGACTCTTCTTCAGAACACACGTTCTGAAAAAATTATACCAGACTTGAAACATTAACTCTCTCTTTCTCCACAGATGCTGCCATATCTGCTGAGTTTCTCCAACAATTTCTGTTGACAAAGATGAAATTGTTCTTTAAATGTTTTTGTGAATTACTTTTGTCTTCACCAATGTTAGCACAGCATTTAGCAGAGGACAGGTCTCTATCCTGTACGGTCTCTCTCTCTCTCTCTTTCTCTTTCGCTCTCTCTTCCCCCATATCCAATAGAACCATCATCCCAACCACCGCTACCCCTGCATTCTTAAACGTCTTAAATGAGTCCAGTCTTTTCTCTCTCAAATAACTTGTCCATAAAGCCATTCTAAATGTCCATCACTTGATGTGTGAGGCCGAATTTTGTGACACCAGCCCTAAGCTTGCCTTTTACTTGTTGAAATCTCCAATCTATTTTCTTGATGGTTAAGTTGCAGTCCAAGTTTCTGCATTATTTACTATCACAGATAAGTCTTGAGAAGTCACCATTAGTCACTTCCATTCAGGGTCGAAGAACAAACTTCCTCCTGCGAGTGTGGAGTTGTCTGGGATAGATCATGCCATTTCCTCTCAGTGCCACCTCAAACTGAGCGAAAGAGGGCATAGGGCCAACAGACTAAAAAGCACTTCCCTTACCTCAGTCTGAGTCAGATTTGAATACAAACCCCAGAAGAGGAAAACATCAGTGCCCAATTCCCTGCATCACCCATTCTCCCTTTAAATTGCATTTTGCAATGTTGAATGAGTGCGGTTACTTAGTACCAGTTTTATAAACTTGCTCATGGAGAGAATTCAATGAGGGGCAAGTTCAGAAAGACTAACATTAGCTACATAATACCTTATGAAGAACTTCCTATGAATGCCTGGGGCAGGTTAGAGCTGTAGAATTTAAACTGAGCTCAATTCACTTTTGAAACACTTGGAGTTACAATTACTTCCACCTCCTTACAGCCTCATTAACAAACTGACGACTTGTGACGGTTAAAGTCCTTTTCTGTAGTAAATAAGACAAAGTATTATCTTAATAGAAGGGAAGTCGTTTATAAATAATTGCAAACCATATTTTCTGCTTTGGTGCAACAAACCTGTGCCCAAAGCCCAGGGCTAAATATATAAGGAAAGTTTTATTGCTAATCTTGTCTGACTGGAGTTAATTAGGAAAGCAGTTCAGAAATGGACAGTGTCTGGGGCCTGATTTGATTCTGCAGTCGTGCAGGTGACTTTCAATTTGGTTCAGAGATAGGAAATAGAGAAGCACTAAAATAAATTTAAGAGCGACTGTGCCCAATGCACCAAATTGTCACTCAAAATCATTCCAATTGACAGCTTCCTCCAGTGGGTTGCAATTCGCTGATTTAGAGACAGGAATGTGTTGCAGGAAATCTGAGATTAAAAACTGACGTGCAGGAGGATCAAGGAACAGGTTAATGCAGCATCCCACTTTCAATGGAAGCCTAGACCCATCAAATCTCATCAATGAGTGAGGGTGACTGACCTCAATTAGACAACAGTATCCAGTTCTGGTTTCCTTTCCTCACTCCACTCAACACTTCTTCTACCTGTCTATCACTATATCTTTCTCTTTTATTCCCCATGTCTATATCTGGCTTCCCTTTATGCATTTATGCTGTTCACCTAAGTTATTCCTTGTAACAGCAAGTCCCCCATTCAAATCAGTCTTTAGATTAAAAAAAATTCTGAATTCCCCGTTGGATTTATTAATGACTGTTAAATATTTAGGATCCACAATTGTTGTCTCTCCATCAAATATTAAAGTAAAAACATGCATTTACATAACACGTTGCACTCTATTACACACCCCAAATTGCTTTAAAGTCATTTTCAGGTGTTGTCACTGCTTTAATACACGAACCATTGCAGACAATGTACACACTGCAGGCTTCCACAAACAGCTATCTGATAATAGTCAGATAATGTGTACTGCAAGGTAGACTGAGGGATAAATATCAACCAGAAGGTCAGGAACCCCACCCCCCACCCCCATCTCTTTTTCCAAACTGTGCCATGGGATCTTGTGCAACCATCTGAAGGGGCAGATTGGGCCTTGGTTTAAACATTTGAAAGACAATAATTCTGTCAGTGCATTTTTCCATTGGAGTGTCAGCCTGAGGTTTTGTATTCATCTCCTGGAATGGAACTTGAGCACACATAAGAACATAAAAACATAAGAACTAGGAGCAGGAGTAGGCCATCTGGCCCCTCGAGCCTGCCCCGCCATTTAATAAGATCATGGCTGATCTTTGAGACTCAGCTCCACTTACCCGCCCACTCACCATAACCCTTAATTCCTTCACTGTACAAAAATCTAACTAGCCTTGCCTTAAAAACATTCAGCGAGGTAGCTTCAACCGCTTCACTGGGCAGGGAATTCCACAGATTCACAACCCTTTGGGTGAAGAAGTTCCTCCTGACCTCAGTCCTACATCTGCTTCCCTTTATTTTGAGGCGATGCCCTCTAGTCCTAGTTTCACCTGCTAGTGGAAACAACCTCCCTGCCTCCACTTTATCTATTCCCTTCATAATCTTATATGTTTCTATAAGATCTCCCCTCATTCTTCTGAATTCCAATGAGTATAAGCCCAGTCTACTCAGTTTCTCCTCATAATCCAACCCTCTCAACTCTGGAATCAACCGAGTGAATCTCCTCTGCACCCCCTCCAGTGCTAGTATATCCCTTCTCAAGTCAGGAGACCAAAACTGCACACTATCTACATCCCTCTGCAGACTTTCAGTGTCTTCTGCACACTTTGCTCTACCACTCACCTTAGTGTCATCTGCAAATTTTGACACACCACACTTAGTCCCCAACTCCAAATCATCTATGTAAATTGTAAACAATTGCAGTCCCAACACTGATCCCTGAGGCACACCACTAGCCACTGACCGCCAACCAGAAAAACAGCCATTTACCCCTACTCTTTGCTTTCTACTCATCAACCAATCCTCTATCCATGCCAATACATTACCTGTAATATCGTGCAACTTTACCTTATGTAGCAGTCTTTGGTGTGGCACCTTGTCAAATGCCTTCTGGAAATCCAGATACACCACATCCACAGGTTCCCCATTGTCCACCATGCAAGTAATGTCCTCAAAGAATTCCACCAAATTAGTTAAACATGACCTACCCTTCATGAACCCATGCTGGGTGTTCCCAATGGGACAATTTCTATCCAGATGTCTTGCTACTTCTTCCTTAATGATAGATTCAAGCATTTTCC